TCTTCCCAGATATTCACAATCTGTCAGCAGGGCTTCTCTGGCTACAAAAGATGCCTTTTTATGGAGATATTTTGTTGTAATTTCAGCAAGTGGTTGTTAGTTATCTTGGCTACATGACACTGAGCACATCTGGGATGTGTTCACATGAAGACATTGGCTGAAAGCAGTGCCTTGTGGCCTGGAATTGACTCTGGTACTGAAAAGACTGTGTGGGCATTCCTTCTCATTTGGCTTAATTCGGCAAAGACACCTTCCATGGAGGATCCAGTCAGGAATTCATTTTGGAGCTGCAGGACCAGTACAGAAGTCAGACTTCTCACTTGTGGTAGGATGCTTTTCCAAGTGACTTGACATGCTTTTAGTTCTTCCCCAAATTTCTGCCATGACTGTGACAGCTCTGAGACAATCGTTTACAACCATGGCAGCCAAATTTCTGGTAAGGGTTCTATAGTTACTTTATGTGAGTTAAAGTAATTTGGGGAAATGATTTGTGTCTAAGCATCCATGATGTAACTCATCACACTCTAGTGAGTGAGGGCCACTTAGAATGTCCCGTGGAGAGCTCTGACATAGGACTTGCCTTCACCTCTTAAGTCAGAACCTGATAAATGACAACAGTTACTGTTAAAGTCAGTTATTTTGAACTTGTGGTGTCACAGCATTGAAGTTGTCCATTCTTTTTTTTTTTGTCTTTTTGAGACAGGGTCCCACTGTCTCAAACTGTCTCACAGCAGTTCAGGCTGGCCTTGAGCTCACTTTGTAGCCCAGGCTTGGACTCACAACGATCCTCCTGCCTCAGCCTTCTGAGTGCTGGGATTACAGGTGTACACCACCATGCCCAGCATGTTGTCCATTCTTAAAGGGGATGAATTTTCTGTTCTTAAAGAGGATGACTAAAATACATTAAAATCTTGTTCCCATCTATACCTAGTCTTCATTTACTTTTAGCACCACAATTTGTCTTAACTGGAAACTAGAGTTTGAGCCAAGATAGAATCTTTTCCACTTTCATTGCAATCATATAGTGACATTTTATATAGTGACATATACATTTTATATAGTGACATATACACACGCTTTGGGTTGATACTGCCAAATTAGCTCACAAATATGCAATTTCAAGGGCTGATTAATAGTGTAAAAATTAGGTATTTTCAGGCAGTTTATCACTTACCATTGTTGCCATTTTCTTAGTTTGTTGGAAGTTTCATTTTCTTGGGAAGGTTAGGCATAAAGTGGGAAAATGTGGGCAAATCACAAAGCTGTAAGCTATTCCATATCTGGATAATATTAATACCCATAGGGAAAGGCTCAACTATACACAACTTCTGTAGCACTTAGTATGTGCTGGAAACTCTTCCAAATATTTTATGCAATTTTAACTAATCATGGACCCTATGAGAGTAGGTACTGACATTATTTCATTTGACAACTGAGGGAATGAGACCCACAGGGCTGAGCTAACTTGCGTGAGCTCTCCCAGTTAGTAAATAGTGTAGAGGGGGCTTGAACTTGGGCAGTTTGGCTCCAGAGCCCAGAACAGGTATATAAGGAGTCCGCTATAAAAGTCCGCTCCCTTTCCCATGATACCGCCTGCACTGTGCATTTGGAAAATATTCCCATTAAGCTGAAATTGGATTAGAAGAGTGTTATTTGTGTGACTTTTCTGTCTAGCAGCCTGATAAACATTTGCGATTTTATCTGTCTGAGGGCATTTAAAATATTGTTAAATATGGTGATTATTTTAGTTTAGGGTGACATAGTTCTACTCTATTATTGGTTTTAAACAGTTTGTTCTTCTGGCAATATAAAGGATTTTTTTTAAAACAAAGGTGAAAATGTGGATTTTTTTTTTTTTTTTAAACAAAATGGTGTTTGGGTTGGATGCTTAGAGTAGTGTGATTAAGAGGCGTGGGTCAAAGATCTTGCAGAGAGTGAAAAGGGAGCGGGGTCCTGCGGATCTGGCCCCTCTCAGGACAGGTTCTCTCCCACACACTGACAAGGACATGTGTGATTTCAACAAAAGAGGCCTGGGTGTTCATGTTTGCCTCCTTCATCCCCTGCAGACGCCCCTGTCTGCCTTGCAAGCTTAGGGAGAATTGTGTGTGAGAATGTAAGACCCAGCATTACTTGCGCAAACTGAACTGTCCTTCAAAGAAAATTGGTGCTTCGGTTCATATGAATTCACGTTTTTCTCCCTAAGTTATAACATCAACCCAATAGTTTATGAGTCTAAAAATTCCTTCACAGCCATCTCTTTAGCTATGATGAGATACACAGGAAAAGCCCACTTGACACCAGAGAAATACTTTCTTTTGTGTTTCCTTTTGGACCCACCACCCTTTTGCCAGATGGAGCTAATTCAACTGTGAAGACTTTCCCTTAAAAAGGAAGTAATGACTGTTTTCATTTTTCTTATCCTCTAGGTGCCTTACGTAGGTTTTATAAGGGAGAGCAGATTTATATTTAGTGGTAGAATAAGCTGTAATACCTCACTATTTCTTCCAAGACTTGTCATCACCTTTACTTACTACAGTACTACTTGAAATGGTCTTGAAGAAAACATGAAATAAGAAGCAAAGATAAATGTCTCCATTCTAAGAATTAAAGTAACAATAAGTAAAAGTCACTATAAAGATAAGCAACTGGAGACACTGAGGGCCTATTAAAATCCTTGGCACTATAACATTTAGAGCTTACTTGTTACTCACGAACCATGTATCAGATAGATCTGTTGGGACATTGTGGGTTAGGACATACGCCACATAAAGCCTCCTCAGAGCCTGTTGCTTCCCCTTCTGTGCTTCCCTAGCACCCAGCGTATGTCTCTGTGTCTGACTTCATCTCATGGTAAACTCTGACGGATGGGTTATATCCTGTGCTCTTAGGCTAATGCCTGACACAATAGGTACCTAATGAATACTCACAGAATGGAGAGAGAAGATAAGACCTGTCCGTAAATAAGATAGAAGAAAACCATTTCAGACAGAGAAAATGATGTGAGCAGAGAAAGACTTAGACATTTCGGCTGAGAAATGCTCCCATAGTTCAATTTGGTTAAAGTAGAAAACTCTGAAAGCACTCTAGATACGACAGTTGCTAAGGAGGGATTTCACAAGATGGGGTGAGGGGTAGTAGAAGATTCCTTAGGTTTGGTGCCTAAGTGACCAGAACGATTAGAATCTCACTAAACTAAACTGAAATTGAGAGGAAAACCTATTCAGGAGGCAGGGAGCATTCCACTGTGAAAAATTGAGTTTGAGGTGCCAGTAGAACCTCAAGACGGAGATAAGGATGTCTAAATAGAAACAGAATCCGAGGCTCAGGAGAGCGAGGTCAGGGCTGGAGGACACACAGCTGGCGGTCAGATCTGAGGAAGCAGTTGTGCAATGGAGGATTAGATGAAAACTGCAGATGGAGAAAGGAAGGGTGGGGAGGGAGCACAGCAAAATAACCGAGACCTTTGGAATTTGAGAAAGGCTGAGGGAAGCATGGGATGGAGAAGGGGGTGATGAGGGCCATGTGTCTCAGCACTAGGGAAGGGCCCTGAGGGGGTGGTGTAGAAAGACGTGGGGAAGAGGCCCGGATTTCAAAATCAGGAGTCCAGTAAGGGCTTCCTCAACCACCTGGTAGCCGATGGCTCTGCTGCGGGTCACATAAGCTCTCAGGCCACGGTTTCCTCACCTGCAAGAGGGCGTAGCGCCTAGGAGTTGTGTTGACTTGAATAGTTTACACAGTATTCCTCAAACCGTACTTTTTAGTCATTCTTTTCATTTTGTTACTCGTGGGTAAAAGGGAAGATTTGGCATTATCATCTATGTTTCTCATGTAAATGCAAGCAACTACATTGCAGACTGTATTCTCGGGAAAATATCCTATAATCAGGACAAGGTTGAAGACTTAGGAACTTTTTTTCATGCATGTTTTATAAAGTAATATACTATCTTTTGTCCACTGTCTTGTGAATAACGCTTCTTGGAGTTTGGATAGAATTCACTGTGCTTTACCAAGCTAATTTTTTGAAGACCTTTGGTGTCCTCAGCAACTTTTCAACTCACTTACCTAACATCCTCTAACTGAGGTTTTGCTTTTCAATTCTTAGGGTGTTTTTTATTTTGTGTTTTCTTTAGGTACTACTGATATTCTACCAACACTGTTACCTCCAACTTTTATGACATTTCTGATTTGTTCTAGTGCATTCAGTTAAAAATACTGAATTTTTTTGTTTCTGAGAGAGGGAAACATTTCTTTTAAAAGTTGTCCTTGCTTTATTGACTAGTGGTTTTTTCCAGATCATTTTTTTTATTAGTGTATGTGTGTAGGAGATAATGTTTACCTCTGTTGTTGGGAGTTGGTACCTGTATATAACACATTGTAATTCCATTTTTCATCCTCTTTCCTTGACCCCATCCATCTTTTGATTCCCCCCAAAACAAACTTATTTTTAAAACCACTTTATTGAGGTAGGACTGACAGTCAAAGAGTGGTATATATGTAATGTATACAACTTGTTGAGGGTCACACCCATCACACCTTCACCACAGTGTATGCTGTGAACAGATGTATCGCTTCCAGAAATAATGCGAAGTGAAATAATTGCGACACAGAAGGATAAATACCATATGGTTCCTCTTCTGTGAGGAACCCAAACTAGAAATAATTTAAAGAGCAAAATAAAAGATGTGGTAGGAGACAGGGGAGTAGATTTTGTGGAGATGCGGAAAAGACCTGGAGAGGAAAAGACGGGAGGGTGGAAGGGAGGAAGGGAAAGGGAGAATGATCAGGCTAGGATATGTATAGGAGGAGTGTGACTATTACGTATCGCAAAGATACACCAACAACTGAAACAGAACAAAAGAATATTATTGGGTATAGAATCATATTTTCCATGTCTTGGCATCAGCCAATAAAATGCATATTAAGTAGCACTTCAGTACTCTGGCTTATACAGTATTAGAAAAAGACGGAACAACTAACACCTTTCTTGTTCTTTTTATTAGGGTAGCACATTAAGAAAAATCCTCCTGAACCGATACTTTAAAGGTGATTACGGAGTTGGTATGAATGGGCATCTGTCAGGAACCTACTCCAAAACCACACAGGGGGGAGGTAAGACTGCAGTTTTCCCTGCGTTTAAGGGTTCTCATGCCATGTAATATTTTACTTAAGTGACTACTATAAAATATTTATTGAAGAAGCATTATTATAAACCTTTGTATAATTTGGCATTTTTTAAACAACAGATTTGAACGTATAATTGATTTTGCCTGTAACTTTGGAAAAAAACAGTTAAACTTAATGATAGTTTCTTGGTGCATAAATTAAGGACAAAACATAAAGCTGATATTCTTTTTCTAAAATATTTGTTAAGAAAAAACACTTACAGGTGTTGGATATTTAATGAAAATTTCATGTTTATGGGTTTTTAATGTTTTCTACTCAGGCTCTCTCATATTTGACTTTGTAGGAAAAATATCTCAATAAATATTTTATGGTTTAAGAATTAGAAAATATTCTATGCCCATAACGCCTGTCACTGAGGCTTATTTAACTTATTTTTCCTAACCACAGGGAGCTTTTCCGGACCAGATTCCGATAAGATGGGGACCTCACTTTCTGACATCCAGTGCCTGTTAGATAAAGAGGGTGCCTCGGAACTTGTCATCAGCGTTATAGTGAACACCAAAAATGACAGGATATTTTCAGAAGGCATCTTCCTCGGCATTGCCTTGCTTGAAGGAGGAAATACACAGACACAGGTGCCTGGTTATCAGCCGTGGGCATTACCTTTATTATTTGTATTTCTTATTGACTTATCATAGAAACCAAGGCAAAGTAACGTTTTTATTTTAGCCTCTCATTACTGTTGCAAAAAAGGAGGATCGGTGCGTCGAATTCCCTTATACATTCATTTGATTTGCTGTGGAGGTCGCAGGCCTTCGTAGATGTTGCCAAAAAGCAGAGCATTTTTAGAAACACCCTCCTGGACTTTCTTGAGGAGTCTCACCCATCCCAGGGAGTGATACGCTCACCTGCACCCAGGGGCTCTGACACCGCCGTTTCCGGAAAGTGCACATTTCCCTTTGAAGCTCCTGCCAGGTTGCCCATGGACAGCTTCACACCCAAAGGCGCAGCATGTTGCAAAGCCCGAGAGCTAGGAATGCTTCCCAGAGACACGCATCTCCTCTGGCTTCGCTGCTTGGTAACCTGATCTTCCCAGATGTGCCAGGGTCAGGGAAGGGAACGATATGATTACAGCTAATTAGAAATTCTACAGTCCACTGTCCCCACTCGTGGCCAGCAGAAGCCACACCTAATTCAAAACTGATACATTTTTGCTTTAACTGGCCCCCCAATACATTGAAAAGCAGGACACTTCTCTGTGTGACACATCTAACAGCTGTGGCTTTGGGAAAAAAGGCTTCAGAAATGACAAATGGCGCAATGACAAACAAGAGCAAATGAAACAAAACAAAAATAAAACTTCCAAACAATGCTACTTGTTAGTGGGAAAAAGAAGGGTTGAGAATTCTCATGGTGCTAAAGCTGCAGCACACATTCCTTGGGGGAAAGGTGGAGAAGGATGGAGGGATGTCAGTGGGTGTCCTTAGAAACTGTCTTGTCTTCTCCAACTGGATATTCAGTTGGGACTTTCTAAAGAAATTGGGCAATTGCATAACGTTCGTTGTAGCCTTCCTCAGAGGGAGAGAGAAGGGTTTTTTAACATCTTTAGAAGCAATCTTTAGAGTTACAGCACTTTCTAGATTCCTGTGTGTGGGTCCCGGAGGGTCATCACGTAGGATGCATTCTTCATCCTCCATCTGTATTTGCACATACTCATGTCCTTGTACTGCTGCAGAATAAGCCAGGTCTGGTCAACAACAGTGTGCTCCACTTCAAAATTCCTGGCAAGTCATTCCTTAGATCCTTCACAGCCCAAAAAAATCTTTCAGTCCTAGCCTGTCACTGTCTCTGTCTCTGTCTCTCTTTTCTTTCATTTTCCCTTGCCTTCCTTCTCTTAACCCGCTTCCTTCCCTTTATGCCCGTTTTTATTGTGGTACTGAGTTTTGAATTTAGGGCCTCAGGCGTGCTGTGCAAGTGCTCTACCACTTAGCTGTATCTTATTTTTTTATTTTGAGAGAGGGTCTTGCTAAACTGCCAAAACTGACCTCCAACTTGTGATCTTCCTGCCTCAGCCTACCAAAGGGCTAAGATTACACACATGTGCCACCAGGCCTGCCTTTTACCTGCCACTTCTGTGGGGCTTTTGTTAATGGTAACTTTTTCTTTTTCAAAATGTTTCTGCCTACTTCTTGGGACACCATTTTCTCTTTGGACCTCCTCCAGTTTCTTCTTAGCCTCCTGTGAAGGTTGCTCTTCTTCCAGTTACTCTTAGATCCTGACATGCCCCAAGTTTCTTTGTACTCTTCCTTGTTATTTTAGTTGTTCCCAGCTCTGTGAATCAGGTTTCCTGTTGTTGGAACACAACACCGAACACCCACATTTTAAAGAAGGGAAGGTTTAGTTTGGCTTGGGTTTCTGGGTATTGGTTCATGATTGACTGGCTCCAAGACAGAAACATGGCTGAAGAGCATGGCAGAATGAAGAATCCTAGCTCATGGCGGCTGGAAAGCGCAGCAGTGGAGCAGCACCAGAAAGAAAAGTGTAAGAGACCAGACATAGACCCTAAGGCCACACCTCCATGGCCCACCCAGAAACACCTAGAAGTGTGCTCCACTAGTCCCCTGGCCAGATTCCAAAACCTATCAGTTTGACACAATCAAGCTTAGTTATCACACCAGCTTAATCTTGTTCACTTGGAAATTTTTACCTTCCACTCTGTGCTGATCATACTCAACTCACTCACTGAAGTCCAAGAGGCTCCATTCAGCTGTCTTCCAGTAATCTTTAGTGGAGTATTCTACCGGTACCTTAAACTCAACATGTGTCAAAGGGAACGTACGGATGTTCTCCATATATCCCTTCCTCCCTTTGTACCCCAGAGACTGGCACTGCGTCTGTCTAGTTGTCTGACCAGAAACTGCTCACCCTTATCCCTTCCTGGACATTCTATTGATGAGCAGCCTCTGTGGTTCTACTCTTTTAGTATCTCAACCTCACATCTCCACAGCCAAAATAATCCAACTTCGCTCTCTTAGTCCATCTCTTCCCTCCTCCTTCTCCTGTATATCAGCTACACTAAACTCTTTGTAGTTCCTCAGATATATTGTTATTCTTGCTTTCTGCTCTTTGAATATTCAGCTCAATGGACTTCTTCTCAAGAAAGCCTTTTCTGACCCCGCTGGGCAGAATTGACTGCTAGATGCTGCATGCCCCTGATGTAACCTGTGGACATCTTTAGTAGCATTTCTACAGTACCTGTTCATGTGTGCTTCATGGAACTCTGTCTAGTAAATTGCAAATCTTTAAGGGCTGAGACACCTTTGCCCTGTATGCCTGGCCCCATGTATGGCTTTATGTAGGAGTTCGATATCTAGGGGTTTAGGAGTGATTGTTATCTATAATAGAACAGTTCTAATCAAAGTGTGCCTCCTTCACAAAGTCTACCTGGTTGGGACATTTGGCACCTGCTCCCTTTTCTGAGCTCCTGTAGCACTTGTTTTTAATTGTCACTTGTCACTTTGCCTGTCATGCTTTGTTTTGTTATTTGCATTGCATCCTGCTCCTTCAATTAAATTTGAACTTCCTTAACGTAGTGAATCATGGCCTGTTCTCTATATCTACCATCCTTTATTGCCAGTCAACAAGTATTTGTTGATAAAACAGCATGAAATTATATTCATGTATAACATTCCTCATATCAGCTGGGGTATGACAATCGCATTTACCAGTCTCCCCTTTTCAGGTTCCTTCTTAGGTACCTCACTTTCTCACCCAAATGTCAGCTGTGTGCTGCTGGCTCTAAGAGTCTAGTTGAGATCAGCCTGAATCTTATTCCTTGTGCTGTAGCCAACTAAGATATGTCTCTCAAAGATCCTCCCAATCCCCCGGAAGTTTTGCTTTCTCACTGTCTCCTTAGCCACTAACCTCATGCTTTTCAGTTCATGGGTTGTCACACAGTCCTGCTGTATTATACTAAGGTCTGGGCCAGAGCACCAGACCTTCCCGACCGTGAGTTAATTTATTTATTTACTATACTTTATTCAAGATCAGTCAGTGAAGGAGGACAGAAGAGGAACTTACATTATAATTTCGAACACCAATAATAACAATAAGACAAATAAAGCATACTGTGTACCTGGCACCCTTCTTAGTGACTTGTATATGCTAACTTGGCTCACCCTCAAAGAGCCTGAGAGTAAACATATATTATCCTACCTTAACCAAAAAGCCAGGCCAGACCCAAGCTCACAAAGGAATTTAGAGAATAGAGTCTGTTTGAAGCCAAGCAATCTGACCCTAGGTTCTGTACTCTGGCTATAGTGAACATCTCCTTTGTAGAAATAACCGTCTCTCTCTTCAGCGATGGAAGGTGTCACTGTCTGATTCACCATGTACCATGCCTTTGTCCTTCTCTGAATCCCTAGTTCATTGCTTCCCTTCCCTTCTCAGACCTTTGCATTTCCAGTCTGTCTCTTCCTCTTTGGGGCCAAATCTTTCCTCTGTTACAGATGTGTTTATCTATTTCTTTCAGCTCCTAAAAAGAAGCTTAGTGTTTCCCCCTTACATTCTATACAGCTCCATAGGTCACTTCCCAAGCAAAAACCAGACCTGAAGAGAAGTCCATATGCTGTCTGTTGAGATTATATAATTATCTCTGACACCTACTTTTAGTCTTCATTAAACTCATGTTTTTCATTATTGTAGAGCCCTGATTTTAAAGGTGTCTTGTATATAAATAATCAGTTATTTTGAGCTTACATCATTCTTTCATAGATGTGGTGGTTTAGAGCATGAAAAGCTAGATTTAAATCCCCGTTCTGTCACTTACTAGTTAGGTGATGTTCAACAAGACACTCCTCACGGTGAATCTCATTTTGTTACTCTATCAAATGACAATGAGAAATCTATTCATTGCTGTCTGGACTGAAAGTATCCATAGTGTGACCGGTGTGAAAGATCTCCATAAACTGTAAAACTTTGTTTTAGCGGAGCCCGAACATTTGCCGTAACTTCCTCACTCTGTGTGGGAAGCTCTTTCTACCTGCTAACCATATTATGCTAAAAATACTGAGGCTTATGCCTTCGTGTCAGCTTGCTCTTTGGGACCGTAAAAGTCTATGCATGCTGCACTTACCCTTTACATCAACAGAACCAGCTTGACTCTTCTGCTGTGGTTGCTATGGTTACTGTGACTTTTGACCTGCTTCTTTGAGGGATTGCTAGCTTTCTGCCTAGGAATGTCCCCTTGTAGGTGTGAAGCTAACATTTCAGGCTTCATAATATCAATGTGTACATACACATATACATATATTATAATATATATTACAAATATATACATTATATCACGCAGGAAAAGGCAGGACAGGTATCACTTCAAGACCTGATACCATTGGAGTCTCACCTACAAATGCCAAGACCTGTGGTTTGTGGTTCCAGACATCCTTGTAGTAAAGCATGTCTGTAAGGACCAAATACCCCCAAAAATATCCAATTAGATTTTCTTATTTTGGAATATGACTGGTTCTACTTGATCAGAAAATCACTGATCAAGTGATTTTTTTCTTTTTTTTTTTTCTGTTTTCTTTACATTGATTCTCATTTAGCTTGTATTAATCTCATCTATCACCATAGTTATAAGATTATTATCTTTATTAACTTGTTACTATGTTTCTCTTTTTTTTTTTTTGTCTTCTTGAGGCAGGGTCTCTCTGTGCAGTTCAGGGGACCTTGAGCTCACTTTGTAGCCCAGGCTGGCCTCGATCTCGCAACGATCCTCCTGCCTCAGCCTCATGAGTGCTGGGATTACAGACATGCACCACCATGCCTGGCTGTTTCTCTTACTTTTGTCATGTCTGTCTCATAAGTTTTTAAATAAGTTATAGTTCCCCCACCCACTTGCAATTCTGTCTTCTCTGGAGGTCGCCATCTTTCCTGTCTCCTACTTCTCTTTCTGGATGTTTCCATATGGCTCTAAGCAGACAGCGATTAGGGTGAACATTCCCAAGTTCAGTCCACGTCTGACTAAGATATACCTTGTCATGCAAAACCCTGTCTAGATTGTTATTCACTGTAACGGAGGATGTATTTTAAGTTGGATCTTCTTAGACCCCATGCAAAGCAATGCAGCTAATGAAGTACCGGAAGAACTTAATGCCTATTTGTCAGTGGGTTCTCATGAGTGAGGTTGTCATGGTAACGCATTCTAAATTAAAGGTACTATAATTTAGATAAAGAAAAAGATAAATCTGTAACTTACCATAAACTCATATTTATGCAGGGTAATTATTGGGTTAGTGGCTGCTTTTTACTTTAGATTGCAGGCTCATGAGGGCAGAGAGTGTCGGTTCCTTTTTCTTTTTGTTCTATCCCTAGCATGCGCACAGGGCTTGGCACTTAGTAAGCACTCAATAAATATGACTTGAATCGCTGCATGACTTTATAATAATACAAACATCAAAAACTCCTTCCATAGTTCTTACAGTGTCCTTGTAATTTTTGACAAATATAGAATCAGCAAGGGTACATGAAATAACATATGAAAATATGTTGGATTTTAGTGGGAACTGCGAAGTAAATACTTGCTATTATTAGTATATGTTCAATAATACAAGAGACTGAAAGGCTGTCAACTTATGAAGTAATAATGGGTGGCGCACTAAATGAGAGCTTTTATCCATAATGGTTAGTTTATTTCAAGCATAAAAACACTATTTTTCTCCCCTTGGATATTGATACCTTAAAATATGTTTTCTTGCAGTATTCTTTCTACCAGCAATTGCATGAACAAAAAAAGTCAGAAAAATTCTTCAAAGTTCTCTATGATCGAATGAAGGTTGCTCAGAAAGAGATAAGATCAACAGTGACAGTTAATACCATAGATTTAGGGAGCAAAAAAAGGGAGGATGACAATGAATTGATGACATCTGGTCCACGAATGAGAGGTAAAGATTTATTTGTATATTTGGGAGAACGGAGTGAGAAGAAAAAAGCACACAGTCTTTAAGTGTCCCTTATGCTTGTCATGTCTCCTACTGGTTTAATTATCCCACTTCCATGCATGAATAGTTCTGGTCGTGAGCTTGACCCTAACACCTCCCTGCAGGAGCAAACTTAAATGAGGCTTAATCAGTGCAGAGTCACCAGTGACATGAAGAAATGTTTTCCTCCATTGTACCGTGCATGGCAAAGAACGACCTCCTAGAACCTTTTAAGTGACCATGGAAATTGAACTGTAGGAACAGAATTCATGGCACTAAACTCCAACCAAAGATGCTTGGCGTTTGTAATGACAAAATTATTGGCATATTAAATATAAATCATAAAGATGTTAGCGCATTAAAATTGTTACATTTTTCCCACCTTGTGTATGTGAACTCATGGATGTGTGTGTACACATGTGAGTGTCTTTCTGACACATAAATCGAAGGATCCTAAAAGTGCTTAAGCGCTGAGATCTTTTCTGATGTCCCCCTGCAAATGTTAACTTTTTGTTGCCGCTTCAAATCCCTGTTGGGAAATTGTTATATCTCTTCTGGTGATTTTTAATGCAATTGCTAGAGAATTTGGGTCCCTGTTTGTCTTTTTTTTCTCTTTAATTAGCAAAGAGAAATTCAGAATTACAAGGGTGCTGCTTTATTTTCAGTAAGAGATTCCACACTACATTTAAAAGAGGGAATGAAAGGGCAATTAACAGAGGCTTCCACAGTAACGTCCAAAGCATACTGTGTGTACAGAAGGGAGATGGACCCAGAAATAGACATTATGTGCACAGGACCGGAAGCAGGAAACGCTGAGGAAAAGTCTGCAGAGGAAGTCACAATGAGTCCTGCAATTGCTATCATGCAGCCGATCCTGAGATTTCTTCAGTTACTGTGTGAGAATCACAACCGGGAGCTGCAGGTATTTGTTCTGATCTGTGTTAAAGCTGTGAGTACAGCCTGTGGTTATAAGTAATTAAATTCAAATAAAACCAACAAGTAGTTTTGGAGGGAGAATCAATAAAAGCAGAGGTGCTCTTCTGAAATGAAAGAGCACATTTTTATTAGTGAAGAAAAATGGGAGGAGATTTCTTTTATGCTTGGGAACAACTTAGACTCACACAATAACATTCTATGGATCTACAACTCAGATATTTGTAACTGCGTTGGTCATCTCCACCTGGTATTTTGGTATTTGTTGAGGACAATAAAATTTGTGTCATCTGTATTTCTTCATGGTTTTACAGACTTCAGGGCCTTCTGTCATTTCCAAACCATTCATATTTCTTCAGGAAGGAGACCGAGCGTATTTTATTTCTTCTTAGAAACACGGTTAGCACAGAAAAGAATTTTTTTTTACAACTGTGAATGTTGTTACCTTTGTAAACAAATATAGTCCATGTGTTAATATCATCTTTCCTACATTTTCCCTATCAGGTAGATAAACTTAGGAGTGCCTAAAAATTTTGACTTTTTTTTTTTTTTTTCATTATTTGTACACATTGCTTATGTCATCTTGGCAAAGCTACATGAAAGGTAAAACCCTTGATTGGCCTGACTGAAAGTGAATATGCTTAAGCTGAAGACCATCAGTAAAACTTACCTCCCATCACACCAAGTCAGCCATAACAGATGGCTTAGCTGGTGAAAGATGTGATTAACGAATCACAGTGAGGGGCTGGGGATTTAGCTCAGCAGCACAGTGCCTGCCTGGCAAGTGCAAGGTCTTGAGTTCGATTCCCAGTACCAGAAAAACAAACAAACAAACAAACAAACAAACAAACAAAAAATCACAGTGAAACTGGCTGAATTGTCTGCAGTTAACCCTGGGATCTGCCTGGGTGCATCCTCCTACCCTGAGTTTTCACCATAGGCAGCAAATACTTTCTGTTCTGAATTAGAGGACAACAGAGTATGAGGTTGTATTCTCAGCAAGGGTCTGAAGTGCAGGGGTTCCAAATTGGTAGGAGATTGTAAGTTCATATGTATAGGACTAAATGAGACATTCGGGAGTTAAAGATGTCAGAAGCCATACGCTTGTGTACTATCCTGCCACAACTTGCGGAGAACTTCCACAGTGTGGTTGGCAGGCAGAGTCCACAATCTTTCTTCCAGAGGAAGGAGACAGTGTATGTCTGCATGCTAGTCCTAACCCATGCAGTCTATTAATGTAGGAAGAAGATGGATAGATTATACAATGCTATATAATTATATACACAGTTATATAGCATTTGATTGAACATAGAAGTAGGGGATCAAACTATGTGGAAAATGCTACTTTTAAAATACTTTTAATAAGAATAAATGGCTGAAAAAATTCAGATTAAGAAATTAAATTATAAATAAAATTAACAAAAGCAGGTAATACCTTAGAGTAAGAAATAAAATCCTCCCTCCCAGCTTATCCTTTCACCAGGCTTATTTTCCCCAAAGAAAGTCATTATCAACAGGTTGTGTTTCATACTAGAAAATTTTGTGTGCATATTAACACATGGATAGATTCATGTAAATATTCCATTTTCATTTAGTTTCACTTATCACTAAATTATTTTTTTTTATTTTAAAGATAAAAGGAGGGAAACATTAACAGACATACAACATTTTACAACATATCACAAGCACAATACAGACAATACAGAGTTACAAACAAAGTGGTAGGGAATTAACAATGGTGGTTGTATTACATATTGATATCTTCAAAGTGATCACTAAATTACTTATTATGAAATAATGCTTAGCATGTATATTGAAGCTACATCATTTTTACAGCTTCGCCATATTCCAATGTTTGGGTATACTATTATTTATTAAACTAGTCACATAACTTTAGGTCTCTTAAAGTTGCCAATTTTTGATGTAACAAGGGGTGTGCAGGAAACATCTTTTTGTAGCCATGTACAGAGATTTAGAACAATTTTTTGAAAGTGGAACTGTGTATTTACTGGCAATATTGATTATTGCATCCATGTTGTCTTCTATAATGGTTGAATCACTTAAAATCCACACATAGAGCTATACTATTTATAAGGGACAATTTACTTGAAAATTTGATGACTTCTTTTCCCAATGAATTGCTTTTTTACTTTGCCTTTTTTCTTCCCTTTTTCATACTTAGTATTTTTGTCTTATCTGTCTAGTTTTAAAATTATGACACTGAAAAATATTTGTTATAAGCTCTACTGATGAAAACAAATACTTGAGCTTAAACCAAAGCCCCCTAAACCTCAGAGACATTTAATAACTATAAAACTTTCTTATAAAGAGCAATTCCATTCCACACTGCTGATCTTTTTGGATTAGAAAAACACACATAGGGAACTGAAAAGTTATCACAATTATTATTTTTTTTAACCCCTCAGACATATTTTCTTTTGCCCTTAGAACTTCTTGAGGAATCAAAACAACAAAACAAATTACAACCTCGTGTGCGAGACCCTTCAGTTTTTGGATTGCATTTGTGGGAGCACAACAGGTGGCTTGGGTCTGCTGGGCCTCTACATCAACGAGAAGAATGTAGCTCTGGTCAACCAGACCCTGGAGAGCTTGACGGAATACTGCCAGGGTCCGTGCCATGAAAATCAGGTAACCGTGAAAGCTGTTCTTCATGTGAAAGTAACCATGACTCCCAGAACAGAGGACCAAGCAAGGGAAAGAGCTAACCTTTGCCAGGCATTTTTACTTAACTAACACAACATACAAGACTAAATTATAGACTAGTAAATACTATGCCATCTTTTTATTTAATTTCATCCTACATGAAAATTCCCATGGAAATGTTCAAGATAAAAATCAGAGTTACTGAAGTAAGGGCAGATACGTTTCTTAAGCACTATTCATTGGTAGTGAATCTTTCCAGGGGTTGTAGAATAAACTTCCTTCAGCTCTTTGGCTCCACTGCAGAGGGTGGGGTATATTATCTCTTTTATGCTCACAGTAAGCCTATGAAGTAGTCATGATTGCTCCTGTTTTGCTGATGAATAGCTTCTGACTCAGAGCTAAAGTGACTTTCCAGTATCTCAGAGTACCAGAACCAGTCGATTACAGAGCCATTCTTAAAACTCAGGACTTTTGACTCTTGAGTGTAAGTGGAGTGTCCTTTTGTCTGTATCATTTGGAGATGAAGACACCAAGTTCAGTTCTGTTCTGCAGAATGATTGTCTGATTCCAATTTTTGGCTATCAAGGACATAGTGGGAGAAGACAGAACAGTTAGGTCAGTAAAGAAGCCATCCTCATGTTTTAAAATTCACCACCCAGCTTCCACACAAGCATTATGAAGCTACTGTCACAAGCAGGGGTCCACCTTGGAAAAAAGAGGTTTCAAATAGCAAACATTTCTGCCTATAAATTTTATTTTATTTTAATTTTTAAATTTTTTTGCCTATAAATTTTAAAGAAACCATTGAGGCCAAACATCAGTAGTTGACCTGGACAGGAACTGTGAACTGTTTTGCTCTTGCAAGCTATGTAGGTACACACACATAGTACCCATGTGTGCAGACACATATGTATGAACAGGTACATACATGTATTCATACATATGTAGGTACATAAAATGAAAACATGACTATTACTGACATGAATAATCAGTTATGAAGGCATTGTTTCCTTTTCTGTAATGTACATATGTCACACTAAAAGAGTATGTGGACTTTTCCCTTTGTTTTTATGGTTTATAGTTCAATTTCATAAGGCAATGATACCAGAAAACCTAACTGTTGATTTAAAATTAAGGTAAAATATGCAGACTTGGGGATTTGTTTTTACTGTTGATAAAAGCATGTTTATCTATAATAGGAAATATGTATATCATGTTATCACTTTTACTATTTCACAGAAAGACTGTAAGAATGTTCCCTAGTTTTAGTCTTATAAGAAAATGAAAATGAGTTTTGAAGCTCTAAAAAGAAAAACCAATAATGAAATAGCATGAACCCACCTTTCTTTCTCTGTGCTTTGCAAACATGTGGAAGGAAAGAAGGTTGCTAGCAAATTCTAGAAATGATCTGCAGGTGGATTCCCTTTGTTTTTGAAACAAAGCAAACATTTTAAGAAGCACAAAATCTTCAGGAAATAGTGTAGAGAAGATGAACGGAAAACTCTTTCTTCTGTGGTCTGGAAGTAAAAAATTCCTTGTACGGAGGGAAAAAAGGAATCTGGTCCTGATTAGCCATCATTTCAGGGTTGTCTGATACTACCCTTTCTCATTTTATCCACCAGTGCTTCAATTTTTCCACCTCCATGATGATAAGGTCCTACATTGTAACACAGTCCCACAAATCTAACCCTCAAGTCCCTGATTTTAAATTTTTTAAAATTATGGTCAGACTCCTACCTCGGTAGATCTTTAGGTGCAAAACATGCCTATTTATCTCTCAAAATGATTGGTGTTCTTTCCCCAATTGAGATCCGTCTGTAAATACCCAAGTTTAAGAAATCTGCCCAACTTTTCCCTCAACCACCATTATGGATGGGGCTACTCCAAATGTCAGGAGACTCCCGCATCACCGTCTGTGTTGCTCGCTGGCAGCAGAATCTCTTGCCGTTAATTTAGCATTAGGTAACAACGGAGTTAAAGTAGTGCATCGGTTCTGTGAGATTTACTTGAAAATCTTCCTTTTTTATATTCTCTTAGGATGGATCAGCTTGTAAAATTTAAATTGAAAGAGCTCCTCTGTTGATGGATATATTAAAATTTATTAACTGAAAGTATTTCATTTAAAATTCTATAAAAATAGTTTATTTTAAAAGATATATGTTTTGCACAGGGTCTCTGTTAGCGTTCTGAGTCCAGATCCATTTAACCAGAACCAGTCAATGAATAGTCATACCCTACACAAAACAATAAATGAAATTCTCAGAGTTAAATCCTAATTATATTCTAAAGATGAAAAACTAAGGCTATTGTATGTCCGGTTATTGTATGTCCTGTCATTTCTGGTGTAGTTGTGTTGTAAATAAAATGTTAATTTACAGATGCCTTGTTTTCTAGACCTGTATTGCTACTCATGAATCCAACGGGATTGATATCATCATTGCTTTGATTTTAAATGACATAAACCCCCTTGGTAAATACCGAATGGACCTGGTGCTTCAACTAAAGGTAGGGTAAATTCAAGTGGACTGTTCAAATGGGGAAAATAAAATTCCCCCCGTAAAATTCCTTTTCAGAGTTGATTCTGTGTCTTCAAATAGCTCTTACAAAAAGCGAGATAGTTAGTATCAGATTTTCAGATAATGGAATTCCAGAAAGGAATAGTAAAATCAAAAGGCTCACTAAGTTCCTGGTAAAATGTGGAGTTATGTGAGGTCATATTCAGTTGCAAGGTCCTGTTGTAGAAATTCCTTCAAATGGCCACTTCGTTTCACTACTTCCCTTCTGTTTTCATTTTATATTTTTCATTTTATATTTTTATATTTTCATTTTATATATATCAGAATATATTGTTTCACTGCTTCTCTTCTGTTTTCATTTTATATTTTAGAAGGTGCTAAACATTCATCATCCCCCATATAATTTTAATTCACGTTGACTAGAGAGTTCCATTTAGCAAGTCACAATTAGATAATGTCAAAGGAGTGCATTTTATGTGTCTAACCTTTCTAAATCTCTAGTAAATTATCTTATTTTCCCCTCCAAATATATTGTCATATTCACATTGCCCTTAAAAGCATCTTTTAATTGCAGCCTCGTACACACTTCCAGCATTTCCACTGATCAGAACTCAAGAGCACAAAAGCATTTCAAAAAATTTCCTGCTGAACTCTTTGTTCAAATGAAAATAGACAAATGAGTACACGCGAACATCGCATAAATCTCACATGCCAAGGCGTGATATTCAATTGAGATAAATAATTAAAGGTCACATCATTGTGTCTAGTGTCAAGCAGGTTTCTACACAGCTAATCATTTGGTTAAATATAATTTCTTCGTACAGTAGCTCTGTTAACACCATAGAAACTGTACAATCAAATTGAACTTCGTACTGGTAAACATTTGGCCAAGAAAAATAGAAACAGAATTTTTATGAATCTGTTTTTAGGTGTAGATTTTGGTATGTGGTGGAATGTAGATCTGTCCTACTCATGGAAAGATTGTCCTAAAGCTCTTAGTAAACAATGCTTCTTTTAATAGAAGGGATGCATTCCCAGTGTTTTACGGTTTCATCTCTAGTGTGTGTGAGTACTGAGCGTTTCCGTTCACAATCAGGATGAAAGTGATCCTCACACAAATTGTGCTCAGGTCTGTAGCTCCACCAGTCTCAGCCTTTGGTGAGAAAGACCGGCTGAGGCCTACAAGACAGTTAGCATAGTTGAAAAAATTTTTGTTACTTTATCTTACATTCAGTTTAACTATAATTCATAAAGAAACACTATAGAGAAGGCTTTGTCTTTCACTTTTGAATTTTGTCATTAAATACTCTACTTCAACGTCTCATTTTTAATTACTGTGACTTCATGGAAGAATATATGGTGGAACTCGTCAGTTTAAAGTATGGGTATGCAGAGTATTTACAAATCCAGTTCTAGTAAAAAACAAATTTAATGGGATACGATTTCACAGCCTGAAGATATTAACTGTTAAAATAAAAATACTTTCCTTAAAAAAGGATTCTTTAAATATTTATATTAATAAGCATCATTTATTTATACCATTTAAAATTGTGGCAGTTGAATAAATCAAGGTATGACTAAAACACCAAACTATGGATTTGACTTGAAATATTTTAAATATAAATTTTTGCTTTGAGGTAAGTGCCTTTGTGAACAATCTATGAGGTTTTCTGCGTATCTGCTGATGTGAGAACAACATTTCTAAAGCAGAATGATACAAATTTGGCAAATTTGGATCCTCTCTTGGGTAGGATGCTTTAAATAAGTTCTCTGTAACATTATCAAGATACCATATGAAAAATATTAAGGTTTTATTTCATATCACTCACTCCTGAATTTGTTGCATAATTATCCATAATTTTAAGTATACTTTATATGCTCATTTAGTATCAGAATGAGTTTTTAAATTATATGTCTTGTCCTTTTTTTTTTTTTTTTTTTTTTTTTTTCTCCGGTACCGGGAACCGAACTCACAACCTTGTGCTTGCCAGGCAGGCGCTTTTGCCGCCAAGCTAAATCCCCAGCCCCTGTCTTGTCCTTTTTAATTTCATTTTTATAACTGGCCTGTGAATAAGAAATTCTGAGTTTGTAAATATGTAGGATGTTTTGTTTAGAAGAATCTGGCTTCTCTTGGAAGAAAATCTCCTATTAATACTGACACTTGCATTTGCTATTTTAGTATACATAGGTTCTTGCACTTTGAAATTGACTCAGATTTCAGTAGGTGCTTTACAAGATTTCTTTCTGCTCTCTGACATAGAGTGAAAAAGAAAATTGGTTAAAAAAATAACCACCTTGCTGATAGCATTCTAAAATTGGAAGTATTTTTAAGCTATTATGTATCAGGCCTGCTGAGCGTGGTTCATTAGACATTGCTGATAGCGCCGCCGAGGTGCTGCCTTTGAATTGTAGGGAGGCCTGTTCAGAGGGCTCTAAGAATTTAAGCTCTCCTTTACTCCTGAAACCCAGTTTTTTAGGCATGTTGCTTGTACAGGGTCTTAGATTATACAAGCAGATTTTAGGATTGGTGCAATTCTGCAAAACTGAAAATGGGATGGGGATAAAATACAGTTCCTTCCTCCAAGTACTAAAATCTTTTCATGATGGATCAGCAACACTGGTGTCATTCACCTCTTTGTCTTCACCGTGGTCAGTGTTACTAGTTCAGTCACCTAAAGAGACCTTTAGGCTGTACTTCTGAAGTAGTGGGTTAAAACGAACTCCTGAAAGGAAACAACAGAATTAATTTGCACAACTTTATCAAGTTATATGGTGATTGTCTACTTAGACCCCAATATTCATTCAATTTTGTTTTTTATTATTTATTTATTTATTTATTTATTTTGGTTTTTCTTCGGTACCGGGAACTGAACTCACGACCTTGCGCTTGCCAGGCAGGCGCTTTTGCCGCTGAGCTAAATCCTCAGCCCCTGTTTTTTATTCTTTAGAGACGTTAACTTTGAGTCATGTGCAAGTGTTTTAAAACCATTTGACACTACTTTTGTACTCTTATCGAAGACTTTAGGTGAAGATTAAGATTTTTATCTAATATAAAAATCATTACAGAAGTATCTCCTGGCTATTTTATTTTTACCATCTTGCTATTCACCCAAATTCTCTAGCAATGTTATAGAAAATACAGTGTACAGGAACATCTTTCAAAATATGTAGGATGTTGTGCTTTTTGTAATAAGACTGTCACTGCGTGGTACTCATTTTGGATAATAATGATTTCAGAAACATTTTTGGTATCAGTAACAAATGGAGACAAAATATTTATAAATAAAATTAGAACACATCAAAGATAACATAAGTTATTTTCATTCTTTATTAAGCCAAAATGGAAAATATTATCCTGGCCTTGGGGGGTGACTCAGTGGTAGAGCACTTTCCCAGCATGTGGAAGGCTCTGGGTTTGATCCCCAGCATTGAAAAAGGAAAAGAAAATATTATTTTTCCCTAGCCAAGACAATAAATGTGCTGTTTATGTGACATTGTTTAGTGAGACCAAGAGGCCATTATTGATAAATTTATATTTCCAACTCATTAATTTAGTATTTCATATATTCTCACTTTTGCTCAAATTTATGTAAAATTTTGATTTGCAAATGATAGTATTGTTCTATTTTTAAAAAACAATTATGCTAGATTCTTTAAGTTGTGTGCCATTTTTTTTTTTTTTGGTTTTTCTCCGGTACCAGGAACCGAACTCATGACCTTGCGCTTGCCAGGCAGGAGCTTTTGCCGCTGAGCTAAATCCCCAGCCCCTGTTGTGTGCCATTTTAATAAAATATATCACTGATTCCTGTTCACCTTTTTTTTTTTTTTTTCCTGTACCAGGAATTGAACTCACGACCTTGAGCTTGCCAGGCCGGCACTGTGCCACTGAGCTACATCCCCAGCCCCCTGTTCACCTTATTGTCTTGTTAAAATGCAATCATGGAAATGTCTATTGAAGAAACAGTGAAGGAAAATATAGTTACATTTTACAGCAGCACAGAGTAATCAAATTTGCACTTAAAACACCTTCTCACCAATATTGAAAATAATCCATATAACATATCTCTCATGAGTCATTAGTCTTATTTTGTACTGACAATGAAGCAAAACATCCTATTTTAAAATGTTAATAAGACAACAGAAATTAGCAGTTTTAAATTCGGTTTGCCTAAAAAAGGAGGGTCTTTCTAATTTCAATTAAAGCAAGTGCAGGGGATCGTTAATCCATGAAATAGACTTCGGGTGTGCATTAACTTGGTCTGTGTCCCTAGAACAACGCCTCCAAGCTCTTGCTGGCCATTATGGAAAGCAGACATGACAGTGAGAATGCAGAGAGAATTCTTTTCAACATGAGACCCAGGGAACTGGTAAGAAAACTTTCAAAGCTCTGTTAGAAGCATAAAGCCTAAATGGTCCAAGTTTATAGCCTGCTCATCAGCAAACAAGGCTGGCAACTTTCACTGCTCTATCAAGGGCTAATGGAGCATCATGAACTACCATTACCAGTGTCCTAGACGGCCCTGGCATGGCACAGGCCTGTGGGGTTGGGGGCCTGTGACCTTATTAGTTCTGTCAGTTCCAAGCACCTCTCTTACCAAACCTTCATACTCTTCTAAACTCTATACAATTGATTTGTGCCAGAAATGAAGCTGACTTTGCTTTAATCATGCCTGAAGTACAGCTAGTTCTCCTTATCTAGGGATAACTGCTGTGCTGTGTCTACTGTAAGATGCTCAGTCCCCGGTACTGTGTCCAGCACTGTGTCTGCCCATGATCTTGTGGGTGCTCAATCAGTAACAGGTGCTTATCAGGGTTCAGAGTTCTCGGAAATCACTGTTAACATTTAAAGATCAAAGCAAAAACTTCCAAGGGAAACAGGGACTATTGTAGGAATACACTTCCATGTTCATTTAAATAAAGATGATTTTCAAGGATCTCTTCATTTAGAATCTTTTTATGCTTTTGATTCTCATAACGCTTCCTCGTTTTAAGTTATAGCTCACACACAATCTAAAATGTGAGTTGTGACATCGCAAACTTCACTGTTCCTTTTTTATGCGTAGGTGGATGTGATGAAGAACGCCTACAACCAGGGATTGGAATGCGATCATGGGGAGGAGGAGGGTGGCGATGACGGGGTTTCTCCCAAGGATGTCGGACACAACATCTATATCCTGGCTCATCAGGTATCACATTTTATATCTTTGTGTCTTTATAGTGTTTTGCTTGTCTGCTCAATCGTCGTGTGTCAAGGGCTTATCATCATATTTTCAAGTTCTGGTCTCTTAACTGATTCAGCAGCTGTCCTGTTAGATTTGGCTGAAGGACAATAAGCTTCCAGAATGCTTCACTGTGCACTTCAGAGTGTGCTGGGGACAATCTATAAAAAATAACTGCTGGCCCAGGAGGGTGGAGGCTGTCCTGTGTCAGAAGCAGAGGGATAGATAAAACCTGGAAACCAACAGAAATCCCACAGAAGAAAGGAACAGATACTACTGGGAAGACACAGGGTGTGAAGTAAGGGCACACTCCTGATCAGGACACACCTGGCTGATAGCTTCAGCCTACTCAGAGTGCCTCCTGCAGGGGCCGTAACCTGGCAGCCTCCAGTTGGGCCTAAAAAATAGGAGGCTGAATTATAAATTCCTTGGGAGGAACTACTTCCATCTCATGACTTGCAAAAACCCATACTTGGTAAGTATCATGTGATAAATTTAATTCTGTTTACAGAAGAATTCATTTTAAATTTGCGTGTTTTAACGAAGATTTATTCAAAAGTTTAAAAGCTTTACATATACATGTGCCAATTGAGTTTTGTCTCTCCGAGCTCCTTCTTTTTATGGGATAAAGTTCAGACTCGGTAGGCGTTGCTTTCTTTCTAGCCATTTCCTTCACTGACCATGTCTCCCTCCTCTTGCTTCTCTGTTTATCTTATCTGTTGATTAAATAAACACTGATAGGTATAAGGTCAGCTTCCAGTAGATTTATCTTTAAAGGTTGCTCTTTAGACATTCCTTGTGCCCTCCTCCACCAATTGTGTAACTGTCTAATGGCTGTAAAGTCGAGCATAATATTTATAAAAGCTTCAGCAAAGAGACCCTAAAACTCCTATCGAAAGAAACTGCTCCTGTTTTATGAGGTTGAGGGCACATGGAGAAGAATTTAAGGCTCTTGTAGCTTATCAGGACACATATATGGACCAGAAGGAGGTGGGCACAGAGGCATTTTAGCAGATGAAGAATAGAGAGTATAAATTTTTGAAAAAGTCTAAATCGAATGTTGAGAGAAACGGGGAAACAGGATAAAGAGTGCCCAAGCTGGTCATGTACTAAAAGATGATACCAAAGCAAGGCAACCTTACACAGATGAAAGAAGGGAAAATTGATGATGGTGTAAAGATCAGTGATTTGGGTGAATTTGTGCTCATGAAAGTGCTCAAAGAGGAAAACAGATAATGCTTTTCAAAGGTGACTGTGTAATCCAGTGAGTAGAAATGCAAAGTGTAAAGCAGTAACAACTTGCTTTATAACAACTTACTGAAAGAGAGGACAGAGTGTCTGTGAAAATGGTGTGGGTGGATGTAGGAAGGTTGTTTTTAACTTCCCCCAAACTAAACCTTGGAAAAGCAGAAGTTTGTAAAGCAACAAAGATACATAAACCAAGGGGGGCTTCAGGGAGAGAGAATGCATCAGGCTAAGGAAAGAGGAGGGCTCTGAATTGCTGAATGCCAAAAACCTCAGGCTGAAATTATAATTTCATTTAAACGGAGTCCATGTGGGTCCCTCTGAGAACTCTCAGAGGAAGTAGGAATGTAGCTGACAGAGTAGCTTTAAGCAGTCTCTTATTTTATTATAATGACACAAGAAGTTGTTGCCTTGTCACCTTATGAATGCGTCCTTTATGGGGTGACTGCTGCCACCAATTTTGCAAGGAAAGCATCAGCTTTCACTCACAGAAAGAGCCCAGTGTGCTGCTCGCTCTGTGCTCCTGTGGCTTTCTCAGCTGTGGACCTCGAGTTTGGTTTCTTGGGAGGCCAACCACGTTTGCTGACTTCCTTAGGAGCCTGACGTCCGCACAGCTTCTGCACCAAGGCACATGCACGTGTGATAGGAAGGTGTCAGCTTGGTTGCAGAAGCAGCTGGAAGCGCTGCTACAGGGGCTGGGTGCATCCAGGTTTTGCTGTTTTCCTTGTGGATGTGAGGTTGTTGGGCTCCTGCAGGCAGGTGACTGAGCAGATTGGCTTCTGTCTTTGGGCAGCTGAGTAATTGCAAAACCAAGATGCAGCTTCCTCCTTGTTTTACTATAATCATCTTTTGTACAGACAGTTTATTTTGGTGCACACAGACTTTCAATTTTTGTTGTTATGCTTTTCACGGCAGTGAGATGGTTCTGCTTTTTCTATCATGACATCCCTTCTGGCCCTTCCTGTGGTTGGTGTTACAAGAAACAAATAATGCTTCTTGTAAATGTCTTGCCTGATCTACATAATACTATAAATACATCAAAAAGGGAATTTCTTACGATCTAATACTATGGTGTCATGCAGAGAATTTCCTTAACAACTCTGCATTTAAACTCTTCATTTAATGCCCATCAGAAGTAAAAGTAGATGGAGGTATGTTATATATCTTGCAAGCCAGAGAGAAGTAGTAGATAATAAGCCTGTGGAAAGCAAAAGTAACTTCCACATCATAAAACAAGAGAGAGTAGATCACTTTAATTAGTTATTGAAATGTATTTCAAAATACAGGCTTTAAAATTTTTCATGAGCATTTTCACAGATCAATAAATGGTCTTTGAGAAACATAATTTTAATGTCTGTTTAATTGTGCATCATTTGAATGTCCTATAATTAATTTAATCGTTCCTTATTGTTAGACATTTAGGTTTCAGATATATTTGATAGTATAAATTGTGCAATGATTAACATCCCCATACATTAACCTTTGTATGCCACACTGATTATTTTCCTAGGATAAATTTCAAGAGGTTTAATTACTGGGTCACAGGGCAGTGACTATTCTTTGGGTTTTGATGCATATTCTAATATGATTTTCCATAGTACATGATGGTATTTATCTTACTGAATCCTAAAATCATTGCTATTTTTAAAACTGTTTGCCAAACTGACATGATTTGGAACATGGTGATCACTCAACAAATGTTTGTTGAGTAAATTAATGTGTGATAGATGAATGAGATCTTATTTTGATTCATATCTTTTAGGTTACTAGTAAAATAGACTGAATGTGTTCATTAATTATTTGTACCTCTTCTGTGCATTACTTAAAAATGTATTTATTCCTTCTTTTTTGGGGCTTATCTTTTCTTATTGAGTTTTAATTATAGATAATAACCTTTTGTCAGTCATAGTTATAGCTGCTTCCTGATTCATTGAATTTTATGTTTTAATGGTAATTTTCTTCCACCAACTTCAGATCTGTTAAACACTCACCTAGATTTTCTTCTCATGTATAATGAGTTCAGTGTTAGCGTTTAATCATTGTATTCTTCAGTGTCATAAAGCAGAAATACGCAGAAGGTGTTCTGATGTTAATTCATCTCTGAAGACATATTCAGGATTTTTGTGTAACCGCCACCCATGAGGACAGGGTTTGCAGGAATGATAGAGCATGAGTCATAGCGGAAGCTTTAGGAGACCGGGGCTAAGTCCAGCCCCTCCCCCCACCAGGCCTTCAGAGGTGCGTTAGGCCTGTGTAACTTGGGAGGAAGTAGGCCGCATCAGTCTCACCAGAGTAGGCAGTCATCACCCACACCTCTGATTTGCCAGGTGGAACTGCAGGCCCTGGATTTCCATTTACTCCAGTATTTCCAAAGAAGCCTGATTTTGAACTTTTTAAAAATGTAAGATCCCCTCACCTTTAAAAGTTGACAACTCATTTTTGGTTTTTAAAAATGCTGAGCAAGCTAAACAAAACTCACCTGCAAGCTGAATGCAGCCCAGGATGCCTCGGGTCACTATTTGTGGAAGAAAGCAGCTGAATTCTTCCTTCCTTCCTTCCTTCCTTCCTTGATTCATTCATTCTCTCATTCAACAGCATAGATGTATTGAGTGCTTACTAGATGCCATGCACGGTGCCAGATTCTAGAAATTTCGGCAGTGAAGGAGATCAACACCAGAGCAGCTCTCAGGATATTTCCATTCTGGCTGGGAGCAGTGAAGGGGAGGTATCCAAACCAGAAGGAGGGCGAACAGTGACAGGAGCACTGCAATGAGTGAGAACAGGACATGCTGAAAGAGCAGCGGGATGGGCGTTATGAGATTCTGGCGTTATGGAGCTCAGCCTGAAACCAGATCTAAGGGAAGGCGAAAGGTCTGCAGTGAAGTGGAGGCGACAGTCAGGGTGCAAGGAGCATCTCAGTGACTGGAAAGTGGCAGTTCAGTTGGTGTGATTAGAGGAGCAAAAGAAGACCTGGGTAGCCAGATCCCTCAAGCAGCTATCAGCACTTGAATATTGTATTAATCACATAAAATTCCCCTCTGGTTAATTTATTACAGGAGAACCATTCAAGGCCGTTTATTGACTACCTCTTACTATGTCAGCTATTGTGCTAGTTGCTAAGGTGGAAAGATGAATAAGATACATCAAGAATTTGACAATGAAGTGTATGTGAGGGGGAGAAGGTGAGAGAGCCATCACTGTAATTTAGTGTTCTGTGTGAAGTGGAGTAGGTGCGAGGTACTTTTCACCTGGGAGTTAGTTAGAGAGGCTTCTGGAAGAGGCATAGAGGAGTGGGGAGGATGCTGCAGGCAGAGGGAACAGCTGCAGCAAAAGTGCACTGTAGATACCTTGGGAGGAGGACTTCAGGGAATACTCCTGCGGATCTCGCATGGTATTCGCATATGTCTTTATATGAGATGAACCACAGTAATGTGAATTAAGTAAAACATCTTTGATAACTTGTGAATGTATTAGGCACTTAAATATACTACCAATGAGTGAATAAGTGAAGAATCAGTCAATGGCTGAATAAATGATTAGGATAGAATATACTCTAAAGCTTTGGTATTTTATAGTTTACGTATGATAATAAAATTGAATGGAGATATTTTCTATCATCATCATTACCATGATCAAAATGAGCAATGATTTCTGCCATTGGAGCACAAATTCCTTGCATATAGACACAATACCTCTCAATACCTTTATTCTCTTCTTTTCCC